GGGTGTCTCACTTTCTGTTAGCACTTTCATAATTGTTCACTCTGAATAAAATAGTAGTTAGTCTCACCTTCAGATACCCCCTTGGAACATTATAAAGGCATACTGTTCTGGAAGGGGTATCAGAAACCGCCTCGTATCCTCCTTCTCCTCTTTCTCCTTCTTAATCTTCTTCATAATTATCCTCATCACAACTATTATCACCATCCTCATCTTCATCACCATCAGCATCCTCATCCTTTGCAAGTACTTTCCCGTCTATGAACTCATTTTGGTCATCTCAGCAACTTTAGCTGGCAGGCTGGTAGAGATTGAATGCACTCGCGTTGGAGATAGGAGAACTAAGGTTCCTATTGGTACGTCTACTTGTCCAAGGCACAGACAGAGGCAAGTATAAGGCCCAGCTGCCTCTCTTCTGATAGTAGTGAGGCAGTGGAGATGCTTTCTTGGAAAATAATGAGGGGGGCAAGTGGGAGCAGATGGGAAAGGTAAGAAACTGGAAACACCAGGAGTTAAGGTCTTAAAGAAGTGCAGCTTAGATTGGGGACTCCTAGTACTAAGGGACTGACCAGGTCACACTCTCCTGGCCTTAAAATTTGATCTGCGGGGTCCGGCAGGTTGCAGGGAATCCCCATGAATGGCCACCCCTTCATTGCTCTGGAGTCATGGTTTCTATATACTGTCTACAGATAAACAGGGATGCTGAATGTTTTTGCTATTATTGATGTTGTGTTTTGAGCTGGGAGGTCTAAGTGGCAACGTCAAGGCTTTCGTCCCTTTCAGGTACAGAATGATACTGGCCACGAGAGAGGAAAGTGGGGGCTTTGATACCTGCGCTAGGGGAAGGATGAATTCTCCTCTTCACATCCCTGAACCACACATGGAAGCTTTTCCAGAGCTACGAATCATCCGATGCAGGGGAGGGAGGGGGATAGAAAATTAAATATAATTTACGTTTTGCTAATTGAAATCAAATAGAAAATTCAATCTCTTGTGAGTTGCGATGCTCGCGTGCAAATAGGGTGCAGGTATTATTAACCCGGCTCTATTTCAGCAAGTTGACTTAGCATTTCTGGATAGAAAATAATTCCTTTGTCAAGTCTCCCTACTGAAGAAGGGGACGTGGCTTAGTGACTCCCTCCCAGAGTGACAAGGATCAAGCCAGAGTAGACGCCGCAGAAAATAGACTTTAAACATGTGAAATTTTCATTTCTTTTAAGAACCACGAGCTTTCAACTCTATCACCAAACAGATTCTTTAATATAAATATCTTCAAGATCCCAAGGCTTAGCTAGGCCTCTGCCCTGTTTCTCCAGGGAATTTTAGTTCTATACAAGGGTATATAAATCATTTAAGGGGGAGGGTTCCCATATTTATTTCCTAGGGGAAATGGCTTATCCACCATTGGCCGACCATATTAAAAATGGATTTGCTTGTCACATTTCTGTGACATATTTATGTGAGGACACACACTTAATACCTTTCTTTGGAAGCAGGTCTTGATGTTCTGGGATTATGCAGACAGGTAGACAGCCAGGGAGATGAACAATGGAGGGTAGGTGTGATTGGGGGCTGAATGAACGTGTGTCCATCCAGAATGGAGGAGATGAGAGTGGGCTAGAGTCATGGTCATTTTTAGCCGATAGATTAATTGATGAAGCTTTCTTAAAACCAGACACTGCATTGACTAAGTTATGAGGTCACCCCTTACCTACCTATCATTGCTCCAAAGGAGAATATGTTCTTGCAAAGAAGCTATACAACCCCCGGGGGCCACCTCCCTTGGGAATAATTGCCACAAAAGCATAAAAGCAAGTGGGAGGGAGGAAGAGAAGGCAAAGAAACACACAGGCAAGACTTTCCTCCCGTGGTTCTAAGTTCCAGGTTCCATAAGAATATTTTGGAAAGGATGGACACCTCAGCCCCACCTTGGTGTTTCTGAGTCATTCACAGGTCTGAAATGGAGCTTGGGAAGCTGTACCTTGAACAAACCCCACTACCGACTCTGATGTGTAGCTGGGCTGAAACTCACTCCTTGTTGTGCTTATGAAACAAGGCCCCACGTAAGCCAGTCCCACGTTCACCCTTCTGAATAAGCATGCATTTTCTTCCTTCAAATGCGTGTATGTGTGTGTATTTTGATCTATATCTTTTTTTTTTTACTTTGATAGTGCAGGTATATCTGTTGCCTTCATTTCAATAACTACTTTCTTATCAAGAAAAAAATATTTGTAAGGCTGCTTCCGAATCTGGCTTGTCAGCCCATGCCTTGCCTGATTGGTTAAGATAGAACAAGCTACACCCCTTTCAGGAGCCACTTTCTTTGTACTATTGCAACAATCATCCTGCCCTGCAGACAGAACCCACCCAAGACGCTGGAATCTGGGCCTTTCTGGCCATCCCAGTGGAAGGATGCTACTGGCATTCTGGGGTTGCGTTGGGGTGGAGATTCCCTGCACAAACACACCATCGAAACCCATTGCTCAGGTTGCATGAAGCTTTATAACAACACAGTTTTCATTTAGCGGGAGAAATGACAGTTTAATAACAGCTGAACAGATTTAACTCCCCCCACTCATACAAATTTCCAATTTTACTAGAACAATTCCTGGTTTTGGAGATCTGCAAACAAGTGTTTTATGTCAAATGGTACATTTTAATCGAATCAAACTAACCGGAAGAGACGCTTTATTCGGCAGCCCTTGACTGGGGCATCTGCAGACAGCCCTTGCTCTCTCCCACCCCCCCATAAACAGGATGTGACAAATGGAGTCAGCCCTCTCACCGCTGCCCAGCAGCTGCCATCTCTGCAGAGAGAAAACGAAGCATGAGATGACCCTGAGCGGTTGGGGTGGGGGACAAATAGAAGGACGGTGACGGCTCCCTTCTCCGTGGCATTACTAAGGATTATTCATAATAAGAGGCATGCCAACTCTGATCTTTGCCCTTCTGGGGACCCAAGGGGACAAAGCCCACCCCAAAAGCATGCCTCAGAAGTCTGGTGCTTGGGGAAGAGGATGTTCAGGTAAGGAGACCTCCCACCAAGAGGACTGGATTTCTTCCTTCACTCCCAGTTATGGCCATTCACCTTTGCCAACCTCATGGCTGTGAACTCTACCACAACCACACTGCTCTGTGCGTAGCCCCGTGGGCCTGACTCTGGCGCAAGGGCATATGCCAAGCTTCTCCATGATCAGGGCTACTCATGAAGAGAGAGACCCAACCCTCCTTAGAGGGGCTCTTAGGAAGAAGGCTCCAGGGGTATCAGCTTTTTTTGGTGAAGAACGTGCATGCCTCTGCCTTCATGATGTGGGGAAGGAGGAAGTCCAAGGGTTGTGGGATGAGGGCTTTAAAGAGAAGGCTAGAAACACCTTAGAAGGAGGACCTTGCTCCCTAGGAGTCCTGGGGCACTTAGCCGCAAAGTGTATTCTGGAGGTTTAGACAGCAGGTGCCTGTGCCAGGTACAGGGCTAGAACCCTGGCTCCCCAACCTAAAGTGAGAACCCCATAAAGTAGACCTTTCTTTCTTTTGGTCACTCAAACATTCATAGCACTGTCTCTGACATCGGCAGCTGTTTATCCTCTGTCTTCATATTCTATTAACTAGCAGAAGACAAGCATTAACAGCGGGTTCTGGTGGACATCTGGTCAACCAGATGCTGCTTCCCAGGCAGGCCCGGCTCTTCCATGGGATGCCTTGGGATCCACCCCTTTGCCTAAGCCAACGGCACGGGAGGCAGCCCCGGCCGGATGAAGGAGGAGATGTGCCTGGCACTCTGGCAAGTGAAGCTGCAGAAACCAGGGGATTCAGGACTCAGGGAAGGAGCCTCCTTAGCTATTCACTAGCCTTCCCTCCACATCTCTAGCCTCATTTGTCACCCTCTTCCTGTTCCCACTGGAAGTCTTGACCAGTCATTTGGTAAAACATCATGTTGAAGGGTTTGTAGAATTTCCGCAGTCTGTGGATGACATCGGGGTCAATGCGGGGATGAGTCCGACCTTTGCTTTTGCCCAGGCACCTGGGGGCACTGCTGTCTTCTGGCTTCTTTAGGCAAGGGAACCCCTTGGTTTTGTTGAAATAGAAATGTTTCTCAGTCACCA